TCTGTTTTCCATTTCTTAACCCGAAAAAAATCATTTAGACTCGGCTGATTTATAAAAGAAAGAAATCCGGGATTCGCCCTCCGGTAACGGAATTAAAATCGATAAGGGAAGGATGTTGGAGGATGGGGAAGTCAAATAAAATTATATTTTCTGTCTGACGAATCCGAAACTCGTCGAATTAAACGCGTTCAATTTATCCTCTCTCTTTGATTATTTAAATTCCGTAATGGATTATTTTCGAGGGGTTTAGAAAGAATATCTTATCGAATTCAATAATCACTTTTATTTAAATAAAAAATGTCCATTTAAATGCACAAGAGTAGGTAACAAGTTATGCATATTATCGTTGTCATAAAGCTGAATAGGCATATGCGTGCGGCCGTCCTTTTTACCACGTTTTTTTAAAACTTTTTTTAAGCGTTTTATTGATAGCTGGTCTATAAAACTCGCCCGAAATGGTCATATACGTAAGTTATTTATCAAAATACCGCGTCGGTACGCCCGTCGCGTTTCAAGGCTCGAATTATCATTTTCCGAACATAAAACCTCCGGACGAGACTCGTTCCCCACTAATTGGTCTATGGACGATAAAGGACTCTGGAGTTATTATTACAAAGTGGAACAATACGACCGGTTAACAACCCGCCTCCTTTTCGGTGCACAATGAGGAACTTCGAATGCCGTTACTACACCTCAGAACTAGACTCGTTATAGGGCCCCAATGGGATGTATTTATTGCGTGGGCCATGGGGGCAATTCAAATAATTACTTCTGCGAAATCCCCAATGGTTATCTACATTTCCATTACGTTGAGCTAGCTAAACTCTATGAATAATGCAAAAGTTGTATAAATTCTATTAAACGGAATTATTTTACTTTAATAAGGAAAAAGTTAAGTTCAAATATCAATAAAAATTGTACATAATCTATAAACGACTCTCATACAATTATGATTATATCGTTATAAATCTAATCTGCTAATTACAAACTGTTTTTTAACTAAGCTGAAGTCGGTTGCGGCTGAGGCCATATTAACCCAAAACCCAGTGCCTCAGCCGTAAAGCTCAGCTAAACTTAGGGTGGAAAACGAGTTTCGTCTGATTAAGCTGAAGTTGCCTGAATCTGAGTCGATTTAATAAATTAAATAACACTTATTGCTTCAGCTAAAGTTAAGGTGGATATTGTATGGTTTCGCCTGACTAAGTTGAGTCGCTTACGACCAACACTCTACCATTAATCAACCCAAAACTGGTCAACACATTCCAGTGTCTCGTCCACAAGCGACATTGGTTAATGTTAGGGAAGGGAATGGATGGTTTGCTTGATTAAGANAAGGTGGATATTGTATGGTTTCGCCTGACTAAGTTGAGTCGCTTACGACCAACACTCTACCATTAATCAACCCAAAACTGGTCAACACATTCCAGTGTCTCGTCCACAAGCGACATTGGTTAATGTTAGGGAAGGGAATGGATGGTTTGCTTGATTAAGATGAGGTCAGTTACAGGTGGGTTTCCACAATTAATATCATATCAATCCAAAACTGATCAACATATTGTAATCAAACTTCATGTTACAGTGTGCTTAAATAGTTTGCTTTTCTAGAAAGAAAGCACTCAAAGTGAACTAAATTCCCGATTGATTTAAAAAACAACCGTTGATTAGAAAGTTTAGAAATATGGGATTTCCGTTTTTTCATCTACTTTTTATATACAACTTATTAAAACTTTGCAGAAATAAATCACAATACAAAGAAAATAATGTTACTAAAATAACAATGTTTCATTTTAAAGATACACGTATACAATGAATAAGCCTTATTGTAAGTAAAAAAAATGTTTTTACACTTATCACACCTATTACATATTTATTAAATTCAGTTTCTACTGGTTTTGATGCACATCACGCCTCATCCTCAGGAAACAACCTCAAATGTCGGGTAATGTGATAAAAACAACATTGTAAAATGAAAATACACTTAATTATTTATTAATCGTGTACTTGCGAATTTTTATTTACTTTTTAGAGCATAATACATTAATTTATGCAACTTATTGTTGAATTTCTGGATCTATCTGATTTAAGCAATTTAATCAAATCATAAAATGAGTGTATTGTTAATTATTAACTACAATAAAGAAGTAATAATTTGATGTTGTTTGATATGAAAAATTTTGATTTGATATAAAGATGAAATAAAGATTACAAAATATGTTGGAATAGCTTGATTAACCTTATGATATGGTCGATAGACATTAAACATTAATGGTTGCATTCTATAAGAGATACAGCGGGTGATCGAAACTGTTATTACGAACTCTAGAATTTTTCAAGAGCTGAATTCTAGAGGAACATCAATTCTTAAGAGGTGAAACATGTATACAGAAGATTCCAGAACTCAAATATACTTTCGTAAATATACGATCGTAAATATTTACTACTAATTCTAGAATTACAGAATCTTGGAACTCTTGTTCCTGGGCTTGTGTTTTTGCGAAATAAAGTTTATTTAAGAACTTACATCTGTAATTGAGTGATGTCAAAACCTTAGCCTAATCCATCTCATTCAACTAACATCCCTAACCCAACATTATGTTGCGTGTTGCATTGGATATAAAGGTGTATTGTTTCTCTTATAAATTTATCGCATAACCGTTTCAGTGTTTTTTCCACAATGTTGTATACTACGGTGTCAACAGCTTTATCTAGGCTATATGTGTGCATAAATTTATAATAGAAAAGAAGATATTAAGAAGAAGTTATCGCCGCGGAGGAAATAAAAGCTAAACCCCGCAGAAAAAGGATGTCCACAAAATTAAATTGTCGTCAGCAGTACGTAGTTGTTTGTGTATAGCTTAGGAATTAATGAACTTGTGGGACATTTCTATGCCTTCCTAAAAGTTGAGGTTAGAAAGCAAAAACTAATGAATCCCTGGAATCGAAATCTAAAGTTAGTTATCTTTAGTTTAATGACAGTGTATTGCACACTGTCATTAATATCATATCAACCCAAAAATGCACAAAACATTATAGCGATGGGCCTTATTTAAGAATAAGCGAGGTCATTGATATTCCACCTTAAGTTTTGTTGAGGTTTCTTGCGGCCGAGGTCACTACAATTAATACTATATCAACCCAAAACNGCACACTGTCATTAATATCATATCAACCCAAAAATGCACAAAACATTATAGCGATGGGCCTTATTTAAGAATAAGCGAGGTCATTGATATTCCACCTTAAGTTTTGTTGAGGTTTCTTGCGGCCGAGGTCACTACAATTAATACTATATCAACCCAAAACCGGGCAAGACATTATACCGCTTCGGCAGCAAGAGACCTCAGCTTAACCAAGGAATGTTACAGATTCGTTATCCTAAGTTGAGTCTAAGTTGTTTGCTGCCGAGGCGCAAGCAACCTCAGCTTAGATAGGGGAAATCATAAATAGTCTGCCTTAACAGTGATGTGCCTGCCGTTTGTTGAACACTAACATCATTACTATATGAATCCAAAATTGGGCAAGACATTATCTCTGCCGTAAGCAATACAAGCTTTGAATTCTTGCTTATTCAATAGTTGCTAAACCTCGAAAACAATCCAACGCATCCCTACCCAATACTATATTATAATATTACCGTATGTTTATGTAAAATGGATGCTTCCAAATATAATTCTAAGTCCAATCATAACTCATACCAAAGCAATTAATAATTTTCAAACCTTCAAACTGAATCCAAGTTCAAAATCCAATCCTTAATCTAAACGCAACTTAGACCAAACCTGATCCAATCAATAACTTTTAGTACTTCAACATCATCCCTGTAATGTGATACGTTATTTGTGAAAGACACAACAACTCCATAAGCTCTTCGGTGCTCAACTTAGCTGAGTTCTGTTACTATCTCATTATTGTCTACATCCACTACCATAATATGTGTTAAAAATTCAACCGCATTGACTCTTTGATATACATATAAGTGATTCAAGGGTATTTTAATACGGTGTAGTGTTAGGAAGCAAAAACTGAGATTCAAGATATTCTTATAGGCCGTGGTGATGGATCGATGCGTTGTCCATAACAAGCAAGACATGAAGATCCATCTTGGCTAAGATTTTTTCACAGAAAGAATAAACACCACTTTGATTCAATAACTATGTTACGCATTACCCAAACTTATAGTTGAAAACAAAATCAATTCCCTTTAGTAAATAAAATTCAAATCCGCAATTCCATACCAAACTAATCACCAAGTAAGTTGCGAAATTCCAATTCTATCTAAAGCTAATATTTACAAAATATAATTCTAAACCCAAGCCAAACTAACTCAGGTAATTGCATGCGTATTGCATTTATATGGTATTAAGATTTGTGTATTAATGTTATCCTCAACTGCACTACCGTTATCATAATAAAATTGAGTATGTAACTGGGAAGAGTAGGTAAATGGAGAATAAGGTCGGCCAAAAAGCTGATACCCAAGAAAGATTAAGAGGAGTAATCTTACATATTATCTTAGTGGATTTGAATTGTACAAAAGATAATATAGGTACAGTCTTAGGTACTTCTTTATTGAAAAGTTTGTGGTTTAATCAGAAATCGTTAGAATTCAACTATGTTATATTTAATGACAAACAAATAATATTAAATCTATTTGGTTGCAATCCAATTACGGGATTTCTTTAGATATAAACAAGTCGATCTCGAAATGTCAAATATGTTTCTGATCTTTCTGATTATTAAAATTAATTAACTTGATATAAACCGACAACGTGAATCTTCCATCTCTTTATTTATTGTTTATTCAAAATGCTTTCTGCCAATCCAATCGAACCGTAACACGCGACAAAGAACAGATACGTCAATTACCGTCGCCCAATCCATCACGTTTGGTTCGATTTGATTAAAACCTTATTCTTCCAATTCCAAGAAAATCGGTGCAAACAGGAAATTGCTTTCCCACTGCTTTGCTTAGATACCGCAATTAAAAAAAAAACAAATTCAAAATTCTTGTCAACGTCTGAAAATTCAAAAAAAAAGTAAATTATTCAAAAATTATCCCAAAAAAAGGAATAAATAAAAAAATTTGAATGTCTGAAAATGGCACTAACACGTGGTACATATAACAATATAAATTAATATTAATATTTTTAATGGCGTTGTTTAGGTATGCAAAGCCTAAATTGACTGTACCAGGTCCGCATAATTTTACGAAAAAGCCACAAGATGCTAGAAAAAAATCTATATCTACAGAAGGTGGGCCGTTAATACATAAACCTTATATTCTACCGCCTAAGGATAAAAATGGTTATAGCGAACGTGATTGGTTTAGACACTTCAGCGAGTAGAAATTAAAACCCCAAGGTACGTATCCTATAGTCTCGTATCCGAGCGATTTTGGACCGTTTCCAAAACCCATAATTCTTTCCTACCGAAACTGTCTTCTCTACGCAAACAACGCCGCTATTAATTCGGTGTTAACGGACCAGTTTTGATTTTCTGGAAGCGCCAGGCGACATCTGGCTGGCAGATTACGTTTCGCAGTGAAGATATTTTAATTTCCCGGTATTTCTCGGTAACGCGACTAAACGGCGTGCGTCTGTTTTGGGGAAACTACCCCTGCAAGTTTCGGATTAAATGGGGTGTACGGTTATGAGAGATGTCTTGATTAAAACTTATGAGCCCTTAGCCGCCTTGGCAGATTGAATTGCCGAGTTGTGAGGAAACAAGTTTTGAGTCCCGTTATCCCTTGAGTAAACACAATAACCAGTCACTTGATGGCCAATTGCTTAAGAAGCCATACAACGAACGTCTTATGTCACGGCACATTTGACCCCTTGAAGACTTTAAAGAACACCCCTCGGCAATTATTAAAGTAGAAGGAAGACGTCGTTGTAACGTGATCCTTTAAAATAAGCCACTAATAACATAAAAATCGTTTTTAAAACTATCCTTTATTCAATTTCTATCAATTCAATTCTATTCAATAGATATATCTTGTGTATTCTAACCGAATGGTTTGAAATCGTACGGACATTTGAAAAAGGGGAAGAACACGCCCCGTTTGGTTTTTATTGTTGTCCCCGGTTGCGTATATTTGATATTTTAGCTCGGTTGACAATTTGGGGACAACCTCGACACAAAGGACATGCAAGAGAAGAAACTCGTCGTCCCTTTTTGTATAAGAGATGAGCTTTTTTATAAAAAAAAAGAACTCGTCAATACAAAAAAGACCAGTCGAGCCTGTCAATTAACCTGCATCCAAATTATTTAGGTTTTGGGGTACCCGAATATGGCCCACCGATTAATTTCCTCCCGCTCACGCCTTTCTCAATCGAGCTTCATTGTTATTCTTGGACAGAAGCCGGACCACCCATTAAAATCAACTTTTAAGAACCGTTCAGATCAAACTGACGAGGGGCGTGGAAACGGCACCTTTCAACAAATATGAAATTCTAAACGAACCTTGAGGCGGCGTCGCGACGCTTGCTAATATCACCCTATCCGCCAATTTCGAGCGTCGAGCAAACACTCGATATATAATATCGCAATGCAAACTAGCCTCCGGGGTTGCTGGAAATTCTCTGAAGCCAGGGAAACTGCCAAAACGTTATTGCAATGTTATGAAACTCTTCGTTCAAATCACGTTCGTTCACTTCAAAGAAACTTCACCGATTCGAATTTTTTAAATCTTTTATTTTTCGTTCAAACAAAGAAGAAAAATTAAAGTAGCGAAGGAATGTTGTTGTTAAATGATGATTGACGCCCGTTTGTCTACGTACTAGAATTCCATCCATATTTTAATTAATACCCGCTCACTTTCCACGCACTGTAAATCTCTCATACTCCATTAAGCACAAGGATGTTTGCTTCTTCCATTTAGCGCCTTTACGGCTATTTAATCTCTAAGCGGTTCTCAAAATGTTCAAGTGCATAGATGCACTAACTAAAACATTTAAAGATATGAAGGTAATAAAATGAAGGTTACCGCTGAGGATTCTTAATAATATCTTTCTTGGCGCCACGTCGCACGTGAACGTATCAATCTGACGTAAATTAAATGTGAACGCAACATTTAAGAAGGAAACATATTTAGAAATCTATTTGTTTTAGTTTTAAATTGTATGTACATTGATATAATGGACTAATACGGGGAAGGGAATGTCCGTTATATGATAAATTTTTAACTTCTAGGTCTAGTTTTAATTCAATAACTATCTAACGATGAATAACAGTTAAAACCGGAACTAACAGTGGACCTAGAACTAAAAACTTTCATAAATTTTTACCAGATTAAGCGGAAGTGATGTTTAAATTAAAGCTCAATCTTTATAGAATATTTATGATGAATTTTGTTTCTTCAATAGTTATCTTTCTAGTTATAGGTCTAGTTTTATTTCAATGAATTGAGACCCCACCAAGACATTGAGACCAACCTCTTTTCAGTGTTACACCTTTCTGCCCATTCTCGTTTTTCTCTCTCCAACCTCAATTCAGTCTTTTTCTGTCTTTCCAATCTTTTTTCTTGCATTTATGACTTTTTGTCGTCTTCCTCCTTTCTGCTTAGTTTCTCTTTTCAGGTTCTGTTCAGTGTTTTTCTTCTATTACAAATCTGTTTCATTTTCAGTCTCTCTTCGAGAAGTTTCGTCATACTCGGTGTTAGTTCAATGAAAAGTTGTTAGTTCCACTTCAAAACTTGTTATCTATAAATAATATTAATAATATGACTTAAAAAATATTTTATCCGTTATATCCGAAGTCCATTCTAACGAAGTCCGTTATATCTAGGTTTTACTGTAATTAAATTTAGGTGGTCCATTCAAAATGATTGACTTCCTTAATCTCGACGTGCGATTATATTACACGTGTAGCAGGCAACGTGTAGCGATAATATTTAATATTAGACACGGTTTCGCAGGTTTAGCGTGAGTACAAGACAGGATAGAATGGAACAGGACGGGTCTTCGTAAGTAGAGAGTTGAACACGTGAGGAAGATAAGGGACGTCAAACTTGCTTAGCAAAAGGAGCGGCGCGTCCTCAGGACCTCAGGAATGCGGCCGGTTACGATCGAGGAATTGTATTTTAAACGGGAATAAAAACTGCAATTAAAATCGGCTCTCGTTCCTAATTTTTCCGGTCGCCAATCTGTCGGTCAGCGTGATCGCTACAAAAACCGGATGAATTATTAAATCCGATTATGAATCGATAAAATATATCACTGACGACGACTTGCGTTTAATATTTATGGACGCGTTTAATTAGACCTTGAAATCTACTGATTTTACACGCTTTAAAGGTTATCGATTATGGTTGTGGATTAAATTGCAGATGTTATTTGATGTTTTTTGTTTAAATGCTAAATATGTATAGATTTTTTGATTTTTTAGTTTGGTATTTTTAGGTTTGGTTATAACTAAGAGATTCTCGTTGACAATTCAATAAACACCCTATATTAGTTTCTAACCGCAATCGACCAAAAAGATCTACCTCCCTATATACAATAGTGAGATTATCTATTATATAGGTTCATAATATTGTATAAATATGGCTAAAAGGGGGCTGGTGTTGACGATTGTGGCACAGGATTAATTTTTCCCCGTAAATTCTGACCTCACGCTGCGAGGAATTTGAAATCTGCCCATTAGGGCGACAAATCCGACCGAAATTCTGATTTAATTTCGCAAAGGTAGTCAGCAACATCTGGTTCACTGCAAAAAAAAAGGATGAGAACAGGTATAGGTGCGAGATTTACAAAACAAACATCTTCGTAAATACAGATCGTATCTGGGGATTATTAATTATTTAAGGTTTTAGTTGAGGGAACCTCGTGACTTGATGCCGCATCGGAAAACCGTAAAATGAATTGAAAACGCTACCGACCGAGCTACTTACTGTTATAATTCTTCGAACGGTAGAGCCGCGAGGTTCCCACGTGCGCGTACCGAATGTTAACACCCTGATTATAATTTTGATATAACATATCAGGGGGGGCCCCAGACGTGTACATGTCACGCGGAATCGAAATAACTCCGCGCACTCCGCAATGACATACTGAACGTACATCACGTCTCTTTGCATGTCCGTTAGATATGCATGAGGTAAGGACGTTCGAAATCAACATTTATTTAGTATACAAAACGCAATAGTTATGCAATTAAAAAAGTATGTACGTATACACTGTAACAAAAACATTTTTTTAACGGAAATGTATCGATTGTTTGTTTTCCCTTTATTTTTTCCCATCTCGAGCCGTTATTCACGGTGCCGGTGACATATGCGCGGTGACAAGATAGCCCTGATAGTATCTCCAGGGGCCGCAGCTGGCCCTTTGTACCGCACCAATTTTAAAGTAACATTAAATGCGCCCGATCCGTATCGGGCGGTATCAAAAGAGACAGCAGCGCTGCGAGCACGATCTTTCACGCCCGGTCCTCGAGATGACTAATTACGTGGAAGGCCGGCGAAGGTCCGCCGAAGAAGGTCGTACAAATGGTCCCGGGCGCGATGATTAAGCGTTGTAGGGTCGCGACGCGCCGGTAAACGATACCACCCGAAAAATTGTCTCTGGTTACCATAAATCAAAACTGTGTTGTGTATGCGCGATCAGATTACGATTCATTTTTAAAAACCATATAGAACGAGATGTGGATAAAAATAGAGGATGTATTCAGATTTTTTAAACAAGATGAGTTAAAATCGTTTTATGACTTTGTTTTGAAAATTGTTATGAAATGACCTTTATGGGTAACCCAACAGCATTCAATCAAAATTGTTGTGGTTTTTGAAGTATTGTGTGTATATTTACTTGAAATTGGATATGAGTATTGGTTATGGCATCCTTTATTGTTAATTACAGGAAAATTACAGAGACTGTCATGACGAGCTGAGTCTATATGTATATAGCAATAATAATAATGTTTATATATATATATCTCAACCTCAATCTCTGCCAGCCCCCAATCCTCCCCCTGGCTATGAAACCATTTCAAAATAAACAAAGAAGAAGAGTGCTCAGTCAACTTGCCGCTTACTTAAATAAGTCCAAACCGTTGCCTTAAAGGATCAGAGAAAGACTCTTGAAGGAATTAAGTAGCCAATTGTAGAAATTAGGAATACAATACGTAAAGCTGCGTTTGAAAATTTGTTTATGCCTAATATTAATATTATGGATATCTGTACGAAATCTAATTTTATCACAAATGTAAGGCGGATTCTTGTATAGAGTACTTCGCCGCGACATGCTCAGCCAAACAGCCCATGCCAGCGTATGTGATATCCGCTCCCTTCTACGAATACCATATATAAATCGCAGACAAGAGTTTTGTAACTTTTGAATTTTAGCAGTGTGAACGCTGTTCTCAGGTTCTAGTTCAAAATATATCTGTTATTGTAAAGCAACCTTAATGTAGAGTAAGCTCTCCGTAGAAGCGACCGAACATGCCCATCAAAGCGAAGCCGCTCATCGAAACAGATACCCAAATTTTTTACATTTTCCCCAAAGCTAAGACGACTTCCACCCATCACCAATTGCAAGTTAGTTTTTACAAACTCAGCCGAAGCTATATCCCCAAAAACCATAACACAGGACTTACTAGAATTAATCCGTAGACAAAGCTTGCCAGTAAGTTCTTCGACCTTAACTTCCAGCATCTTGCATATGACACAGTTTAAAAGAGTAGAGCAGTTGAGTATCATTAGCATACAGTGATCTAAAACATTAGCGAACCCAATTATAGATATCAGATATAACAGAGGACCCAAAATAGAGCCTTGTGAGACACACATCTGCAGTATTTAACGTACCACCATTAAGTTTAACCAACTGCTTTCATCCAGACAAATAACTTTGTACTAAATGAATCGAACCTAAAGATAAACCTATATATTGGAGCGCAACTACTAGAGTATCATCATGTATTCTATTAAAAGCCTTAGAAAAATCCAAAAGTGTTAAGATATTCATGTTAAGATTTCATCTGTCACACCCAGAAGCGCAGTAGCGAAATTCCGGGCGAAAGCCAGACTGGCAACTGAGCAACACATTATAGTCATCAAGATGGCAGCGAAGTCTGACCGTCATGACCCTCTCACAAACCCTGGATAATATAGGGAATATACTAATTGGCCTGAAGTCCCCCAATTTATGAGGATTTAGGGTTTTTGGAATTGGAGTCACCAGGGCGATCTTCCACATATGCGGAACATTCAATGGAATAGTTAATTATATGGCACAAGAAGGGTAAAATTGCAGGACAACACAATAAAAGCATTTTAACACTTATGCCATCCATACCAACAGAGTTTGATTTGATTCCACATAGAATATTGAAAATTTCAGTTTCATTTGTAAGAGAAAATGTTAATTTTCCAGTGACTCGTGGAAGTATGTTATTTCAATAAAAGTCAATCAACTCAGCACTTCCCATTGAATTAGTTTGAGTGCTGAGAAGAAAATTATTAATAGTATCAGCATCAAAACCAGTATCAGTCAACACTTGAGTCTTATTTTTGACAACACCCAATTTCCTAAAACTCATCCAAAGATCACGAGATGATCGCTCCTGAAACAATGTGTTTAAGAACGCCCGTTTTTCTCTCAGAATGGCCGAGTTAGTGTAATTGCGTAGTTGTTGTGAATGGGACACCTGCTCTGGCAGAATCTACTATAAGCCTGATCACGAAATCTCATAAGGAGCTTGATGTTATCAGTCACGCAAGGGCGCATGACGATCAAAAAGATTATGAATTGAATCAACAAAAAAGGCCACGTTATCATTAATGTCCTGAAATTGGAGTATCCGGCACTAGGGTATTGATAGCAAATCCGCAGAAAACATGTCAGAATTCACGAAATGTTAGTAGTTTAAATGTTACTACTTTTGTGAAAATTTGCATACAGGGTTATACCGAAAATGGACCCCAACTTCGTTATTTTAAATGGAATGTACCAATTTTTATCGAATTTTCGAGATCCCCGCCAAATTTTAATATAATTTGATATAACTCATCATATGTTTAGAGTGCACCATTTTTTAATTATTTCAGTTTTTTCGAAAATTTTGGCAGATGCAATCCTTCACAATAAAAATATATTTTTCGAAATTACACTCCGGCCAAATATGCTCAGGGTTGGCACAAAGAGGACCCATAGCTTACCTACATAACCTTTGAAAAGTTTTTAAGAAAATTATACATGGTGGTCAAAAATTTGTGCCGAATTTCCTTATCTCGAAAAGTCGAAAATTTCATTTTTTTAAATGGCAACTCCAATTTTTTTTTCACCAGCGTATTGTACGCTGAAAAATAAGGGAACTTTGTCATTACATTCCTATATCTAAAATGTACATCTACATTCAATTCAAAATAAGGAGGTTCATTTCCGGTATAACTGGAAGTTGGAGCAAACTGAAAATATTTTAGCTAAAACGAGCATCACGGATAAACCCTACATGCTAATTTCCACAAAAATAGTGCCAGTAGTTTACCACATACATATAGACTCAGCTCGTCGTGAGAGACCCTGTATATGTCATAAAACTGCAATTGAAGGGAGAATCAATTTGGTGTTCCCTTAATACAAGTAATACTTGATTAAACGTTATGCAAGCTAGGCTAAGGCTATTAATATGTATCAAATAAGGCAAAGTGCTCAATGCTATGTTATACAAATAGAGATTCAATCGTCCTTTGAGAATTGCCTACCAAAGTGGGCAATGAGTGTAGTGGGAGAATACAGAATAGGATTATTCCCATTAAGGCATTAAGTCTTAAATATACGATTTAGACTAACTCGTCGACTGTTATCTACTCCTAGTAACAGATATTGTGAAATCTTTCATAAAAAATTTCGAACGATTGTGATGCTAATATCGTAATAAAATTTGGGTTTTATATGCCTTAATGTCTTGTTGATAGAGATAAATATTTATTTAAATTCAGCATTTTTCATTTTCCTTCCTAGTATCATAAATAATCTTGATAATGCCATTATGCAAAATTACTAATGCCAAATTTGGTTTCTTATATGATTCTTATAATTCGTTGGGCCAATAACTTTTAAAATGTATAGAACGTCTTCCTTATTAAGTATTTTTTCATTATTGCACTGAATAGAT